CTTTATCTCTGGTTCACTTCGAATTCACTTTAGCAAGTAGTAGCTCACTTGACTGCAATTGGGAATTGGAACTATTATGCGAAAGACTTCCGCACGAAGCAAGTTGAATGATTTCTTTGTATGACAAATTGCCTCTGGCAGGGGGCGGCTGGGCGAGGGGTCGGTCGTCGAGGGGGGGGGGGGGTGCACGACACAAACGATGACGAACTAATGCGCCACGCCTCGCACCCCTCTGGCGATGCTGTTAATTCACTTGATGGGTGAAGTGCGAGGTCAAATCTTTCAGTTGACACAAAGCGATCGCTCACAGATACAGATGCGCACAGTTAAAGATACAGATACACACGCACACTCACACACGACATTAACAAACACTGAAAATAAACAGTTGGCGTGTTGATCGCTGCGCACTCGAACTGAATTTTTGTTTTTTTAACTTTTATTGACTTTTTTATTTTATATTTTTTTTTTATTTTGCATAAATATATTTTTTGGCACTTGCTCAGACTTTGGGTTGTTGTTGCAGATTTTCCATAATTTTCACTCCGATTTTGCCCCTAAATATACGCACAGTAAACACTTGTTGTTGTTGTTGGCCACTTTGCACTTTTAGCCAAGATTTTCGCACTGCAAGTGACATGATTTCCAAAAGCAACGCGTTGGGCCACATAAACTATATACTATATGGGCATATATATGTATACTTAATATCATATATAATGCCGAGTACATGCACATGTGGGCGCTGCCCACACAACAACAACGACAAAGCGACAACGCGACAGCCGGCTAAGATGCAAATGGAGCCGAGGGCGACAGACGACGGACGACTGCGTTCGACGCTGAGGAAGACTTCTCTTTGCGAGGAGCAGCGCTGACAACGTCCGAGTGAGCACTGAGCCAATCGACTTGACAGCCGACAGTCCATGGAGCCCACAGAGCAGAAACAACTACAACAACAACAACAGAAACAACAACATGAACAACAACAACAGCAACAGCAGCAACGTCGACGCCAACGCTGCGAAAAAATCACTTTTCCGAATTATCAAATAAATATATAAATAATATTTAAGAAATAACAAAACAAAAAAAGGAATGGCAACAAATTAAATTATAGTGCATGTTGCTGGCCGTTGGATTCGTTTAGAGATTAATTAATTTTCAGCTTTTGAGCATTTTCCATAAAAGTGGAGGCGCGGCGCGTTTGTGGGGCCGGGAGGATTTTGGGAGGGGTGTGGACTGGGTTTGGGCTATGCCAAGACGACGACACTTTTGCATGTTGAACATAATTTCAATCAAAACTGAAATTAGCAACAAATTTTGCTTATGTTGCCGTTGTTGTTGTTCTTGTTGTTTTTGCCGGTGTGGCTGACTTTTGGTTAAGTTTTCTTTCTGCATTTGCTGCTCTGTTTATTTGCTGCCTCAAAGAGGCGTCTGTCGTTATCAATTTGCTTCTGAGAAAGAGAGTGAGAGAGTAAAGAGAGAGAGAGAGAGATGGAGAGAGAGGGTGTGAGCGAGAGGGGTGAGTGTAGTTAGAGAAAGACAGATAGAGCTTGGGGGCCTGCTGTGTGCATCTAGCTATATTTTTCGTATTTCTAACAAGCAATAAAAAAGAAATTATTATTTATATTTAGTAAAAATCTCAGCGTTTCTCTCTCTCTCTCTCTCCTCCCTCTCTCCCCCACTACCTCCCCCCCCGCCAGCAGCTGTCGCAACAAGCGTCCAAGCAGATGTTTATCTTTTATTTTTAATGTGTGCTCCCCTCATTTGTTTTGCCGTATTGTCTGCGGAGGTGAGTTCTCTAAGTGTTCCCTTGACATTTTGTCAGTTGGATTAAATGCTCATTAGCTCGACAGCGACCACGCCCCCTCCTTCCTCCCACACCTCTTTGTGGGGTCAGCTAGATTGTGTAGATGTGGGCGTGCATAATCCAAGTATGTGCATACATATAACTTTTCATATAAAAATTGTTTTGCATGAATTGTGAATAATTTGGCTAGAATTTTTAATGATTGCATACTTTGTTATGTTTTCTTGGCCCCATGCGTGGAATATTCCTATTTTTTGGCTAATATGTAATGTTTGGAAGGAAAAAACTATGTTTCTATTAAGTATATATTCTTGGCAAGGACAACAAGCTAGATAGCTTAGGATTGATTTTCTTTAAGATTTTATTTATTTATATTTAAAAGCTCTCCAACTTGCCCGCTTTTTAATTAATTAATTAATTTATATTTAATTAATAAATTTATTTTTTATTAATTTTATGAGTTCTCCAAATTACCCCTCTTAATTTGTTTATTTTTAATTTCATTATTTATTTTTAACAAATTTCTGCAACTTGACCGCTTTTTAGCTCTGTTTTTCACCAGCTTTTTAAATTTGAGGCTTTTGGGATATTTGAGTAAACAATTTGTATTTTTAGCTTCTAAATTATAATGTTTCTATAAGAATCGCTTAAAAGTGCCGATTGTGATCGCAATTTATTTCCCTCTCTTACTTCTGCCCATGAAAGAGTATTCAAACTTTGATATAATAAATCTTGTGCGCGCTTTCCCAAAAAATAAAAAAAAGGATGAACAATTTTATTATCATTACATGAACCATAATTCAAAGCAATTGAAAACAAAAGCATTTCAGCCACATTCTGTGTGTGTGTGTGTGTGTGTGTGTGTGGGTGCACCGCACCGCAAGGCTTTTATTAATACCACTGTGCAATTATTCAAGGCGCATATATATATATTTATTGGTATATATTTTTTTTGCCACTTGACAAGCGAATGTCAATGGCTGCTGCCTGTCCGGGTGTTGGACTACGCCGTAAACCGTTTTAATTGCGACGAAACAGCGCGATTTACAAAGCTGTTTGCCGCGGGCAACAAAAGATTTAAGCACAAAATCCGCCAGAGAAATTGCCACTAAATATGCAGTGCATAAAACAGAAAATAAATATGCCAAAAGCAACCGACCCGACAGCAAAAAGACGTCAACAAAAGGCAAATCTGTTGCCGCAGCCACCTCCACCAAGTTCCCGAAAAACCCCTTCAAACAACTCGGGCGAAAAATTATCAGCGGCTAAACACAAAAACAAGTAAGAATGCTCTAAACGGGAGTGACTGACTAGGATATACCCTAAAAAGCCAACGCCAAGCTGCCCTTTTATTCTACCTTCTTCATTCTAGCTCGCTTTAATAAGGACACAAAAACAGAAAAAAGCACACACACAGACACATACGCAACACAAGCACGCACTCCGCAAGCTTCACTTTTTATGCAGCGGCTGTGCTTCTTCTTTCCCCAGCCACACTCTATAAGAAATGCATTCTTGATTAATTTCGTCTCTTATTGTCTTTATTCAAATTTCCGGACTTTAATATGGCATACATAAATGTATATACACAAATGTGCCAGGCCCCACGCTTAAAACTGTGTCTGTTCCTATATTGTAGGGTATGAGGGGAGGTATTCAAAAAATAAAATCTACTTAATCTGTGCATGCCATACGAGAATCTAGACACCAAGTGTGCAGCTCCTTTCATTTTCGATTAGATTAGAATCTTTAAGAGACCTAGTCTTAAAATGTATATTTATCGATAATACAGATATGGAATGTTAGAAGATCTGGAATGAACATGATAAACTAATTCTACATATAACATATATCATAGTATACAAGAAGTAATATATTAATATACAAGAATATGCATAAATGTATTTCAAGTCCACAAGTCGGATAGACAAAAAGATATGATTAGATCGAATCAGTTCTTCGTCCTAATCGAACATCTGTATATACTTCAAGTACATTACAATTGCACAAAAACATAATACCCTCTTTTATCCATTTTCTATAAGTTGAGGGTATAAAAATAAACGAATGGCTCGTCTGGGTGGGGGAGGGAGGGGTTGGCAGAACTGCAAGCATAATTTTGCACGTGTTTCGAATAAGTTAAGAGCAGCGGCGAGCCCCAGCAAACTTTCGGGCTAAAACTTTGGGCGCAGCCGCCACCCAAACCACGAAAGCGAGCAGAGCCACCCACTCGGTTGGGTACGCTTAAAAATGCGCGACCGCATTCATTAGCGCAAATGGCTTAAATACTTGGCCCGCAAATGTTGTGTGGCAGCTTAAGAAGTAGTTGCCGCCTACTCCCCGCAACTGCACTGCCCCCCTCTCCCAGCCCCTTAGCAGTCGCTTCGGCTTGTTTGTTTGACTTTGAGCTTGGTCCGTTGTGCAGCGAAAGGATTAAGTTTTCACAGTGCCCCACGGCAAGCGCACACACACACACACACACACACACACACACACACGCACACACACAAACGCAGTCTAGGCAGGCGAAGTTTAAGCAGCACCCGAAATACACTTGCTCCAAACTCCACCCGCGCTTCGCCTCCCCCTCATGCCATTCACCCACTTAAGTAGTTTGCCAATCCGTTCGAAGCCGAAAAGTATTCGCATTTCGCCATAGATTTTGCTTATCGTTTGTTCGCATAGTTCTCGCAGTTCTTAGTCATAGTCTGTGGAGGGGGTGGGTGGTCGGAGGGTATCTGGCGATTGGTGTGGAGCAGCAGCTGCATTTCCTATTATCGCAGCATACTTTTAGGCATAAAGCATAAATTCTTTGCGCACATATTTTGCATAGCCACAAATTATTGCAATCTTAATGCGTTCTCTCATTGTGGTCAGCTTTTCTTTGTGCCGACTTGTGTCTGCGGGTCGCATGTTGCCGCCGTGTGGCATTCAACACATCTCAGATGCATATAATGTGACCCATTTTAATTAATCTAATTGCATTTATTATTAAAATTTGAAAAATAGCACTGTTTAATGGTTATTTAAATGTTTGTGCCTTTAGCTTATTTTAAGTTGTTTGGGATTATTTTATTTGTTATTAGATATATTTGCTTCTCAACATTATTTATTTGATATTTTTAACATGCTGAATTCGAGACGACTTTTTAATACTATTTTTGAAAATTGTTCTCTGTTCTTTTAGAAAACGCGTGAGGACTGATACTATTTGATTTCCACACTCTGTATGAGGAGAAAATAAGCTCTGTTATCACTTCGCGTACGTGATCATTAATTCTTAATGTAAGTACCAAATTTTATAATATTTATATACAATAATAATATTTACTTACTAATAATACAAAAAATCGTGCATGTTGCAGTTCAAGCTCAAGTTCTCATGTTGCAACTGAGCACATCGTCTGTTAAGTTTCCTTCAAGAAGCATCCGGTTCTATCATCAACAGACTTTACTTTCGATTCCTGCCTGGCACTCGCCCCGACGCTTAAATTTGTTGCGAATTATAACGCGTCAATTAACGCAAACATAGCGATCAAAGTCCCAACCAAATGATCTTTATCTGTTCTATATGCACAGATAAATTATAAAATACCAATTCAATTATGCTCTAAAGTAGACATTTCCTTTTGTGGGTTCAACTGTTGGAACTCCTGGGAGTAAATCATTATTCCTGCCCGCCCGCTATCAGGCAGCTTTCAGGTGTAACTACTCAAATCTCTTTTCAGTCTCAAATTATGCAATTAAACAGTGCATTATGGGAAAGTTTTCGTTGACGCTGACGTCGACAGCGACGCTGACGCCGACGTCGTCGCTCAACGCTCACTTAGGAACATGAATAATATTAAACTCACGGCATAAGTTTTTCTTTGGCAGCAGCGGGTGAAACTTGCGCAACTGGCGCATATTTCAAATACTGAATGAATTTTGCACATATTTCAAACTTAACTTCTCTTCTTTTTTGTTATACATGTTTTTTTTCCTGGTATTTTCGACTCGAAAAAGTTTGCCGACAAGCAACGCAAGAAAACGCCGCAAGGCAAGCTTTTCTCTAGCTGTTGTTGTTGCTCTTCTTGATTTTACTTTTAGTTGCGGCCAAAAAAAAGTATTTCTATATATATGTACTTATTTATATGTATGTAAAGGAGCACTAAAATTGTTTATGGCGCTACTTTGGCGCAAAATGTATGTCAAAATTAATTAATTTCATGATTTATGCGCCGCAAACTTTTCAGTTTCAGTTTTCCACTTTTCGGGTTCGTCTGGTCAAGCTTCTAAATGTGGTTAATGTAAGGGGTGCCCCTCCCCCAAAAAAAGAAAAGCATGCTAAAATTAAGTTGAAATTGGTAAAGAATGTATCCGACAGCGAGATACCCTACTTTTTATTGTAAAATATAGACTTTCTATCAAAAAATAGAGATCATCAGTAGTTTAATAAAACAAATATGGTTGCATAGAGTTTAGACCTTATCCTCACAAAACAAATAACCTCTTTACTGTGTTGGCTACAGGGTATATAGCACATCGCATTATTCCGAACTGTCCCGTAGAAAACATATTATTTAGAATTTTTTACAAACTCAAAAGAAGTGTCCACGCCATATTGGGCATGCCCTTTATGCCATTAGCTACAGGGTATACAGAACTGCCCCTTAGATAGCAAAAACTAAACAAGTCACGTCTTTGGGCCATAAAGTAGCCCCAAACTGGACCGCGTTCGGGACCTGCTAACCTCGGCAAACTTTGCGTTTAGTTTTGCCAAAGTTCAAGTGCCCAAATACTGGACAAGCAGCTGCTGCTGCTGCTGTAAATGTTTCTGTTGTTGCTTTGTAGGTGTGAACATTTGTTTCAACGCCCTCTTTTTTGATTAGAACTGGATTTCACCCGCAGCCCCCCGCCCCATTGTCCCTGCGGCCGCACTCCTATCTTGATTGGCAAAGTTGCCGAGCTGAGCTGAATGCGTTGGTGCTGTTGGTGCTGCCAACTCGGTTTTTGGGCAATCCTTTGGCTGCTTATCGTTTTTGCATTCATTTGTTTTCAATTGTAATTAATCTTGCAAAGTTTCCTTTTGACATTTTGTGGCTGAAAGTCGTTCCCAAACCCCGAACTCTGGCCAGAGCTTTTGTTTTATGGCAAGTTGTCGCCTCACAAAGTTGCCCAAAACTTGTTGGGGATTTTTTCGTCTGCTTCTTCTTCTTCTACTGCTGGCGCTGGGTGGCAACGTCAGCGTGTTAGTGTCACAATTAAAATAAAGTTTGGCGCACTAATTGAAAAGTGTCAAGTGTAATTTCTTTAAATTTGCCCAAAGACTTCGTCGTCAGCAAATTGTTTGACTTTTTACTCAGCCAGCGGATCAGTTGTCCAATTGGTTGCGGTGTTGCCAACTTGCCGGCTTGCGGTGGTTGCCGGAGTTTTGCCCACTAAACTTGTCAACCCTGGCTCAGCACTAATGGCTGCGCTCATTAATTGTGTCCGGGCCCGAGTTGACCATTGTTTCCATTGACTTTCAGACCGAATGCAAAATTTAATTAGTTTTATTTGCTCCGTGTTCAGATTTTGGCGAATATTTTTCTGTTGCGGGTGCGTACTGAGGAAGGTTGTGAAAAAAGATTAAAGAAAAATAAGTTGTTTCTCGTTTTAAATTATCACACTATCCTTCACACAACTTAATTAGCCGCTCCAACTGCCTTTCTAAGGTTTCTAAATAAAAAATCCCCTTAAAAAAATATGTATATCAGATATTCCATGATTAGCTTGATCCTACGATCTTCTACAACAAGTCCAATCAGGATCTCACGAAGGAAAATTTAAATTTTGAGAACATTTATTTCATGTGTAAAGCAGCATCTATATAATATTCAACATTCATCTTCTCGCATTTCAATGAGAAGCAGATCAGCTAACTCGCAAATCCATGGGACTTCCAAATGGAATTTTATATGTTTGCCTGCGATTCGCTGGCTGAACTTTCTCCAGCCACAAGCTGAGAAACTTTCCGCAATACCGAAAATAAAATAATAACTTTAAGATTGCTTGGGAAATATTCTTAGAGCAGGCTCAGGCAATTAAGCAAATGCAGCCAGCGAGCTGGGAATGAAAATGGAACCGAGGCGAGAACGGGGAATGGAACCGAGAATGGAACTGGGAGTCAGACGCATAAAATGCAAACATAAAAGCCAACTGTGAATGCAACTTGCAATGCAAAGAAAAAGCGGCAACTGTGACAATGTAAACAACATAGCGGAAGAGGGGTTGCCACTGATGAGAGGGGGCCGACATGGGGCTGGGTCTGTAACTTGGCTAAAAGTGCATACAAAATTGCCAAGCAGCAAACAAAAGAAACGACGTCGACGTCGACTGCAGCTGCACCCCAAAACCAAAAACTGCAGCTAGACCCGGGCTACCCAAAATGGTAATGGCCTTTCAATTGGAATTGTAGTGGGTCGGCGAGTGCGGGGAGTGCGGTGGTTAGGGCGCTGGCAACTTAATGCGAAAATCTTGTTGCAAGCAGCGGTGGCAGCCAGTGGCAGGGGCAGGGTCTCTTCGGTATGATGCATAAAAGTCTATTGTTTCTGGATCATAATTCTCTTGTAAGCTGTGCGGAATCAAATGATGGCTGTGCCAGGGCGATTGGTGTTGGGGGGCAGGGTGTCAGGCGTAATGGGTGCAGGAAATGAACATCATTAATTTTGCCATTTTGCATTTGCATTGAAATGGCATTTCGATAGGGTTAAGATTGGCAGAACAGTCAGCAGCAGCAGCCGCAGCGGGTCCAGAGTTTTCTTCACTGCTCTGCTGTGCGCGATTGGCGCGACGTGACTTAATTTGGATTTCTCACAACTAAATGTTTGTTTCTAGCTGCGTGGCAGGGCGTAGTTTTTGGCCAGCATTTATCAATATGAGCCGGGACAGCGCGCTGATAACGTCACACGCTGAATTGCGGCACGTAGCCTCGGCCCAGACACCAAATGTCCAAATGTCCAAAAGCGGCGCAGAAACTAACACGTACGCAAAGGCCACGCAGAGGGGCTGGGGCTGCGGCAGGGGGTTGGTTCTATGACCGGGCAAAAATCAAAGCTAAGCACTTTCAATTGAATTTATGCGTTTGCTATGTGAGCAGCCCAACTTGACGCCCAGCTCAGGCTGGCTAATATCCCCGCAGAGAGGCAGGCTCTACTGCCGGCTAGTAATAGTTGTTGTTGTTGCCGCTTTCTTAATAATCAGCAGCAAGTTGTGCGTAGTGCTTGGTTGGCAACACAAATTGCAATTTATCGATAAGCAAATAGCCAGAAAAAGGCTGTTTACACACACGCATACATGGCCAATTATCCTGTCTGTCTGTGTCTGTGTCCGTGTGCGTTTGCCTATTAAGTTTTATGATCAGTTTGTGTTTTGCGTTGAAACGATTTATTTAGCTAAGCGCAATTAATTGGAATTTTACGTGTTGATTTTGTATTTTGACAATGAAAGTTCAAGCGCCTCGGCAAATATTGTGCAGCTTTTGTGGCCTTTAACAAAATGGAATGAAGGCAGAAATAACCTTTGTTTAACTGGCTTAAAGTCTGCCGTTGTGCAACTCAACACATAAAATCTATTTTGAAATGTACATTGTGTTAATTGAATGTTACACTCATTATTGTAAATTAATTACTGTATAAATTATTCAGCAGCAAACAATTAAACGAGATTTATTGTTGCACAAATAGAAATCCAGTAAGCTTCGTCACCGTCATCTCAAAGAAGGTTTAATGGAAAGTTAACTAATAGTTAGAAACTGATTTTAATTAGTAAAAACTCTCCATTTGTTATGCAGCTTCTTATCCTTGTATTCCCTTTCCCGTCCCATTCCTTAATAAAGTATCGATAACTTTCGATAACTATCTAAGCAGCAGTGTATAACTGTTTAATCTCACAAATATTTTAAAACATTTCTATCTATAGAAAAGAAACATTGACCGAGTTTAAAATTAGCTCTTAAATATCTTCATATTTCATTTAAATGTTTTATATTTTTGTTCGATTCTTTTATCCAGAATTATTTATTAATTGGTAGTAAGAATCTCATAATATTTACTACTACTTCGCTGAGCAGTTCATTTCTCTTGAAAAGTCTGTTATATTTACTTTCTTAATCCATAAGCTAAGTTTGGCTGACTTCTCAATTATACAACTTAAAGTTTTTCATAGCTCACTCAATAACTATCGACAGGAAGTTCCCTATATTCCTTTCTCCATCTTGATTATCAATAGCTATCGCTGGTGAGAAACTTAATGTGCTCAAGCTA